AAAAAAATATTAATATTAATGGTTTTAAATTTAAAATTATAGATTTAACTACTACCATTTACATCATGAAATAAACAATACTTCGTATAAAATATTTTTTATTGCTTCATTAAAGTATCTATAATTTCATTACATATAAAATTTATCTGATAAAAACTACAGTTTTCGTGATTTTTTGAGCATGCAATGAAATTAAATAAAATATTATTAGGAATAAAATTAAGATCACAAAACGAGTAAATTTAATTCACCCTAAACTAATTTTTTTTTTTAAAAAAATAAATTATTCATGTCAAAGTGAACAATGTGAGTGAAATCAATTCATTACACTGGGTTTTTTTTAAAAAAAACTATTCATGTAAACAACATGAATAAATTAAAACTCACTGCATTAGGTTTTTGATAAAAAAAATTGTTTATTAAAGTTAATAGTACAAGTGAATTAAAATTCACTCGTACGATTCACTTTAATGAACAACACAAGTGAAAAAAAGCAACACAAAGTTACTTTCATTTTTCCTGCATTTTAAACATAGTATATAGTGAACCCCATAAAAAATAAATTATGTTTTTGTGCTTACTAAATAATTGTCTCCTTATGATTGCTTTAAACATGAAAACAACTATACAAACAAGCGAACTTAAAGTTGACTAAATAACAAGAAAACACCCCCACACGCTATTTTAGAAATTACGTGTTATTTTAGAGGATAAGTGCACAATTCAATAACTGATGAGTGAAAAATATCTGGCTTGTAATTTTATCAGATTTCACATGCATATTTTATGTGCAAAAAATAATTTCACCAAACAAATTAACCCACAATACAATAAAAAAAATAAAATAATTTTAATTAAAATAATATCATATTTATTTAACTCGTGACTTAATCCTTGTACCTAATAACTTTACACTAAATATGCTTGTTTTGCTTCATTTTTTTCTTATGACTTTGCCCTTTTTATGAACTCTAAAGTACTTCATGCTTGATTTGAGTAGTCCATCCTATCATATACGAGTATGATTAAAAAAATAAAAGTAAAAATAAAAATGAAGATTTATTCCCTTGGGTATCTATATTTATTGAACTAGTTGGATTTTACTATTCAACAAACAAAGCTTTGACCATTAAACAAGTGGATCTAGTCTAACTAACCAGCCAACCTCGTACGTGGCACGTAATTTAATTGATGAAACCGTAACAAAAAAAGAAGAAGAGTGAATTTAAAAATATACACAAGACACAAAAATTATAAATTTAAGGATTGGAGACCGAGTTCATGCCGATTCACAAGTTGAGGAAAAGCTAGAACCCATTGGGCCTTGACATTACGTTCCGAGATTAGGAGTGTAAATCAAGAAAAAATAGTTCAGGGACTCATTTCAAATGGTGTTAAACTTTAGGGATTGTTGTCATTGTACGCATGCACCTATGCCTTGAATCATCTTTCACATGCATCGCAATTGTCATCATATAATTTAATTATTTTTATATTTACCATCAGTATTTTAAAAAATTAAAATCTATATCTTAATTTAATGATCAGTTAATTATTGTTTTTTACATCAGATAATTTTTCTTATGTTTTTAAAAGAGATAAACTATTAAAAAGATTTTCACACCAGTAGAGGAAGGGAACATAAAATTACCTTGAGATATTTATAATTTAATGATAGCTCCCTGACATCTTTTTTACCATCTTTTAATTTGTGATCTGCCACGTGGATTTAAAGTAGGCGATAGGGAAAAGCAAGTAATAACATGGATAAGACAATAAAAGAGACAAAAGATCGCACCTCAGAATCCCAAAATAGAAGACCGGCGGGATCAATCAGATACCCAACCTCTGATAGGCTGGGAAAGAAACAAGTTAATCGATAGAGGTATCGCTTCACTCGTGGATAAGTATTAAATTTATTTTTTAAAATTTATTAATTTAAATTTTATAAATTTGATAGATATTAAAAATTTATATAATTATTAATTTCAGGATTTATAAAATTAGTTAAAATATATATAAATTAACTCAAACATCTATATTAATTAAAAAAATAAATACATGATTGATGAAATTAGTCAAAATATATAAAAACTAACATAAATATCTATATTAATTTTTTTTTAAATATGTGCATTAATGATGAGAAGAAGAAAATGTTTAAAGCTAGGTTGTTCCTAACCGCTAATTTTGTTCCTTAGATCTTCTAAATTTAAACATAAAAAACTAATTTTGTTCCTTGGATCAAATTCACTTAAAAGGAAAATTTAAACATAAAAAAATTTATTAATGATAAATTTGTAATATTTTAAATAAATTTTTTAGGAAAGAAAATTACATTAGTAAACGAATTTAAAATACATGATGTAAAGTTAAATTATATATATACTTTAATAAATAAAAAAGTGACGTATAGAGTGTCCGCGTGCTGAATTATAAGATGTTTTTAATAAGTCACCATGACAACTACTTTGAATATATATTTTGTTGTTTAGTTATTTTTACCCTTACTCTTTATAATTTAAAAAATTATAGTTTACATTATAAATTTTACTATGCTTATAATAATTTATAACTTAAATTATCCTATATAACTTAGTTTATTTTATACCCACTGTTTAAATTTTCAAGAGAAGGATGGTAATTATAAAAATAAATAAAAATAGGATGATAATTCATGAGGATTCTTTTCATCTTTTACTTCACAAACACGAACATCTAATGTACGAAAATGAGAATTCTAAGAGCCCCATGTAATCGACCATGGAAACACGGTACCATGGTTTATGGAAAAAGCAAGAGCACCGCTGCGATCATGGAAGAGCAGACGGTCCCATGGTAAGAGTTTTGAGTAGACTACAAGAAGACTCGTGTTCAGGAATAGTACCAACCTTTTATCCTATAGTTGACTAGCATGAAAGAAAATAAATTCATATTTTTCTCATCATCTCAATAAAACTATGCAGCCAACTTGGTATTTTCATATTCCAGAAAATAAAAGGAAAAAGCAAATGGATTGGAGTGTAGGGTACTACGTTCTTCTTTCTTTCTTTCTTTTTTTTTTATTTAAAAAAACAATTATATAAGGTATAAAGTTATTGGTTCATGGTTTTATCAAGTATTTTTTTTTTAATTCAAGAAAATCTTACTTTTTAAAATGTGTATTTTGTGAGTGAGTAAAATCTCAGCTAATAATTCTTATAAAAAGCAAACTTAAAACTTGCCATACATGTCTAAGTTTTTTATTATCGTATTAAATCTCAAACTTTCTACGTTAAGTGCCTTGATGTTATAAAGTATCACTAAAGCACAAAGCACAAAGTTCTTTTTCCATGGTGTTCTCCAGTATCACTAAAGCACAAGAGTTGATGTTTTATATATATAGATATATATAAATATAAAGTGGGTATATAAATTGTTTTGAGAATTGAATTTAATGTGTTTTTCTTGTATTTATTGATTTTTCTCTCGTAATAAAAGGGTTATTTTCAGACATGAGTTTAACAAACCAGGTTAAATCTCCTTGGTTTTTTTCACACGCTTCTGCGAATTGCATCCAACAGTTGGGAAGACAAGATGAGACATTCAGAGGCAAGTTCACATGTACATTGCCATAGCAAAGAAAAATATGGATGCTCCTTCACGATCATCATCATCGATCACAATTCGTTGTTATCTGGTTTATTTTCTTTGCAAAAAGAATGAATAGTGATCGCCAGATCTCTCTAGCTGGGGCAGGTACGTGCCCAGTTACTGATTTTTTTCACATTGAAATACCAAGTGGCGAGGAAAACACCACTAATACCAAGTGAAAGGTGAAGGTTTACAAAGGTATTTAAAAATATAGCAATAGTTATTTTTTAAAAATAATTTTTGACTGGAAATAAATCAAAATTATTTTTTTTGTTTTTTAAAAAATTATTTTGATATAAATATATTAAAATAATCTGAAAATAATAAGAAAATATTAATTTAAAATAAAAAAGAAATATTTTTTAAAATATATTTCTAAAACATAAAAACAAATATGCTCTACCATAATAAATATGCTGTTCCCATAAGGATACAAAATGAAGGAGCTAGGCATTTATACTTGAGCAATCAACCGTAGTTACACGCATCATTAATAAGAAATACAAAATTATAAGAGGCCAAATGTCTATTAACTTACAGTAAGTGCCAATCAATTCTAACTCGAGTGGCATTTCGTTGCCTTCATTCCATGCTATATTAGTCTCACAGAAAATCAATTAATAACTTGTTAGAAGCTTAACATAGATTAAAAAAAAGAAAAAGAAAAAAGAAAAAAGAAAAACATGGCTCCTAAATCCATTGTGAGCCTATAAGTTGATATGAAAAACCCATTTCAAGTTGAGCTAGAAAAAACATTAATCCAAGACTTTTTTCGGATTTCCTGAGACCAAGTCTAACAATCATTGATAAGTGTGCAGGGGTGATGTAAGGTACGCGGTGGTGATTAACAATCAGTATAAACCAAGGCATGACAATATTTTCATATTATTTGAAAGACAAGTTGAGATATTCAAAGGGAAATTCACATCCATATCCATAGCCAGGAAAGTTATCAAAGAAGGAAAATTGGGGCAGGTGATTATGATGATCTTTCAACATCTGCCCCATTAAACCGCCCGCCCAATTCAGATTTCAAATATTTTTCCAGGATGAACGAAAAGAAGAAGAAAACTCACACGGTCAATAAGAAGAAGAAATTATCAACAGGAGAAAGTCACTAAAGCTGATATTTTTACACTAACACATAAATATTAGGTCTGCACATCTACCTAAAACTAGGTTCATTAGTTTTGAAATTCTACTACGTTAACAACAACATAATATATAACAACAGCAACATGAGTTATCCATTCTCTACATACTTCTTGTACCCCATAAACCTACAAAGAAGTGGCAGCAAAAAATAACGTTACACAACAGTATATGGTTTTAGATAAGCTGTAATCAAAGCATGTGCAGAAATCATATCAATCATCAAGCAACAAATGTATCTTTTCCAGAGTAAGAGAAAATCTCATTCAAAGGGCACTGCGAGATGCGATAATGGCATATTTAAAACATTTGTTGGATTAACATTCCCAGAACCTAGCTAAAATTTGCAAAATTACTATTTTGGGTGGATGGAGATTTACAGAGTTGATTCCTGAAAGAATTGAATGGTCACAGAAAGCAAAGTTTGCAACTGAGAGCAAGTCAATTTTTTCGAGTCATTATTATAAAGTTTTCCCCGCATTCCAAACACCAACAGGTTCGTTTTTTACCCACCTCATTTTTCAGATTCTGAGATGTGAAACTTCATGCCAACTTCCTGGAAAGCAAATTTAAAGGTGCTAGGGAAACTTGAAAAGAGAAAACGCTTAGGTTCTCAAATCTCAAGTACTCAAATATGGACGCTGCTTTCTTATATATATTAACCACCTATGACAGGTGTGCATATGGACGCTGCTTTCTTGTATATATTAACCACCTATGACAGGTGTGCATTACTTACTAGACCCATCTCTTATTGGAAGATGTATTCTTAGTTGCACTTTGAGTCCGCCTTCTAATCTTCCTGATGTCCCCTTCAGCTGACAACTGCTTTGACCTCGAAGTAGGAAGTCCAATGGACTTTTGATTTGCCGATATTTCTTTAAGAGGATTTTCTGATCTAGACTGTATGTGAAACTCGGTTAATCCTACCAAAGAACTGGAAGCCTTTGCTGGTGCTGATTTCTGGTTTTTTGTTAAACCAAGCTCAGTACTCTGAACGGGAGTCTCCTGAAGTTTAACAACAGGGGCTTGTTTTTAAGCTCACAGGATAGAAGTTGAATTGGAAAAGCACTACTAATTGTACTATTCTGATAAGGATTACCTCAATTTTAGCAGCAGGAGCTTGTGGTCGGTTCACAGGAGAGGAATCTGAATCAGAGGAGGAAGGACTAGTGGTACTATCCATGTCATAAACTACGTTATTCACCATGAGAGGAAGTTTTGAACTGTCTGAGATAGACAATGAGGAGGAGGATGGTCTACGAAGTCTTGTAAGATTCACCACCTGTAAAACCTCGAGTTCTGGAAGTTAGACCATTATCTTATACACAATATTGATTACACACCAATCCTAATAATATACACCCAAATTAGTTCCAACAAACACAAATATTACTATGGATTATTCATGATTCATAAACAAGATGAAGATATGCCATAAACTTTTTCCGTATTAAACACACAAAACTGTAGCCTGTGTGCTTAGATTTCTTATGTGCCAAGAACATTCTGTATTCTGATTTTGTCCTCTGCAGAGCATCAGAGTCTCACGCTTTCACAACAAGAAAGAAATATGATAACCAAGACAGTATAATAAAGAGAACGAAAGAAAGGTGATGTTGCAAGCTTGTGTGCTTAGATTTCTCATGTGCCAAGAACATTTTGTATTCTGGTTTTGTCCTCTGCAGAGCATCAGAGTCTCACGCTTTCACAACAAAAGAGAAATATGATAACCAAGACAGTATAATAAAGAGAACGAAAGAAAGGTGATGTTGCAAAGCATGCACATCTTGTATCAAGTTTCACTGTTTCCAACTCTTTCCTAAATAATTTTGCTAATATTGACTTCTTACCTTTTGTTCTAATACCATCATGTCCTTCCTAAGTCTTGTAATCATTGTGTTCTTCCTGCATATAATGTCTTCCAACTCTCCAATTCTCTATTATTACGGGAAAAAAGATTTATTGGAACAAGTCAGATATAAATATGGTGAGTAGAGAAGCAAAGGAAACATAGTAAAAACTTTGCTCATATGAGTCAAAATACCTTAGAACCTGCCATATTATTTGATTGAAGAATACCAGCCAGCTCCTTTATGGTGGCATCCTTCTCTTCACACTCTCTCTTGAGGTTGCAGATGTCTTGGTCTATTGCAAAAGCGTTCATCTGTAGAGACACGGCATGAGGTCACTGAAATGCGAACTACATAGTTGATAGATTAGTGAGTGATCCGCTCTCTTTCCACCTCAATGGATATGTAATGGTGAAAACATTAGAGAAATCGTAATCAGGTATTGCCAATTTATTTAATAAAATTAACTTCAAGAATTGGTAACTTTGGTACTTCATACAGTTTCCAATAAACAAAATGCATCTATTGCTTAAAGTTGATAAATTTGAGGAAGTAGATAATTTGCCAAGTAAAGAACAAAGAGATAACACATGAAAGATATAAATCATCCTCCAAAACCACACCCCAGACCCCAAGTTAATACAAAGTAATCAGAATTAATTATTTGCCATTAGCCAATTCGAGTGACGAACTGATCATACCTGTCCTTTGCAGTGTGGAAAACCATAATCATCATATTGCACAGGATTTCAGTTGTGAAATACCAAAATTTAAGGGGCTTTTAACAGAACTATTTCTAAACTTCAGTTTTTAGTGATAATCTGATCTCTTCAAATTATAATACCAGTGAAAAAATCTGTAAAAAGTATATTCTGTTTCCGAATCTTCCACCACCTGCATATCTGCTGCAGATGTAACACTTGAAGCCCAATCTGACAAATCTGACATGCGGCGCTCTTCATGCTCCACCTCATTTATGAAAGGCATTTTGTACTGCAACACCTCATCACCTCTAGAAACTTTGACAATAGAGTTTCCCTGGTACAAAATTAACAAACTATAGTATTTGAGCATTTGGACACCAACTCTGACTCTAAGATTATAATTATTCAAAACACCAAAAGACACAAACTTGGCGTCTATATAAATTGATTCTCACCATCAAACCACCAAGGTCTTGGTGTTGATCACAATGCCAACAACCACAGTCAACAAATTTAGTTTCATCACAACCAAAAACATCATTAGATGGCGGTTCAACGTTCTTGTTGTTGAATGATGCATTGGCCTTGGTTCCTGCCTGGCTGTTAATGTTACTCAACTGATCACACAGATTATCAAGCTTCTGCTGCATGCTTGATAGCACCTGATCCTGAAAAGCATTTGGTAAAAAGAATTATATCAGACAAGTCTCATGGCTACAAGAACAATTCATTCTTTAAATGAATTTGAATTTATTTGAATCCTGCTCAGGTTCAAACAAGAGGTAATACCTATAAGCAGCAACAGGACAAGGGTGGGGTTAAAAAGAACTGTACTAGACATGAAAATTCATACAAGTGGATTCAAAATTCAAAACAAGATTTCCAACATGACATCTGGGGTCTAATTTTTGTAACTGCTGTCTTAAATATCAAAACACAAGACAACATTGCAAATGGATTACACATTAAGAATCAATTGATCAAATCTAGGATTAAACCATATTTTTACTACTTGAATCATATCAAAACTGAAAATTTATGAGAAACTGCTCTTAAAGCAGAATCTTTCAACTCCTGCTGATTCAAAAATCATCATTAGAGATAAAGCTAATTAATGAACCAAACCATTAATTAAAACAAATTAAGCCATCAAAATAACATCAACCACCCTCCAAAGTTCCTACCTTTCGTACAAAATCAAGCAACAAACCTTCCATTCACGCTCAAAAACCAAAAAAGATTAATTTTTTAAGCAAACCCATTTCCAAAAATCTAAAAGCAAACAAAATCCATTCACAAAATCAAGTTAAAATCACTAACCCTAAGCTCCACAGACTTCTTGAGCTGATTAATGATCCCATTCTTTTTAGACTCAGAAACAGCAACACCAATAACAGCAACAATCAGAAACCTTTGAGCAGGACTAAACAGCTCCCAAGCCACACCATCCTCCAGTCTCAACCCAATGGCATTAGCCGAGCTGGCTTCCTCTGCATTCACAAGCCGCCCTCGCAAAGACACCCAGGCCAGTCGCAGAGACGACGTGACGGCTCGGGTCGGCGTGAAGTGGCTGGAGAGGCGGCGGCGGGAGGAGGGAGATGGGATTGGAGGGAATGGGGAGAGAGTGACAAATGACGAAGATGGAGGTACTTGAGCCGAGCTGGGGGTGGAGCCGGGCTGGCGGGTGCAGTCGGCTTCTTCTTGTTCCATGAAGAGGAAGGAAAAAAAACAGAGTGCGTGATTGCAGGGAGTTCGTGGTTTTCGGACGTTGTGATTTATTGTGTGGCATTAAATTTGTTGCTATTTCTTTGAATGGTTTTTTAAGTATGAATTCAAATTTTGTGATTTGAGAGGGAATTCTTCGAATTATTGAAGTTGAACGTTGGCTGCCTAGTTGTCCTAACCCCAAAACACTTTCGACTCAACTATTTTTATTAAAAATACTTTATTTTTTTTAAGAAAACTTTTAAATATTATTTCTTTTAGACTGGTTTAATTATATCATTAAAAATTTAATCAAGTTAATTAAATTCTATTATATTATTATCTTATCTAGTTTAATTAAGAATTTAAATAAAGTTATATTTCAAGTCTTGAAATTATTAGATCAATTCATCGGGGAGATTTTCTGATTGGATTTAACAACTACAATTTTTTAATGAGAATTTAAACAGATTAGACACAATTAAAATATTGTATTAAAAAAATCTTTTTTTTCAAAAAAGAAAAAAAGAAAAAAGAAAGCCTTCTTTTCTCTGATTAACACTCCAAATGAAGGGGAAACTTTATTATTACAAGAATTCCCATAATTCTGTATTTCATCTGCTTAAATTTAATAATTTTATTAAAATTGATATGATTTGAGTGATTTAACGGAATAAAAACTATATTAATTTTCTCCATTCATTTTACCTGTACAATTATATTAACAAATTTTAATATCCTATTAATTTTAATAAAATATTAAAAATAAAACAATATAAAAAAATATTAAAATTTTAAAAACAATTTTAAATATGAAAATGACCCGAAAAAACAATAATGTATAATTTAGCTGTTAACGTCTTTTTCAATTTAACTTAAAATCTTATCCATATTATGTTTTAAATCATGAATTTTTTAGATTAATTTCTAAAATTTAGATAGGGTTAAGGATATTTGAAAATGTAATAACGATTATTTTTTAAAGTGATTTTTATTTTAAAATTTATTAAAATAATATTTTTTATTTTTAAAAAATTATTTTTCACATCAACAAATTAAAATAATTTAAATTTATTAAAAAATATTAGTTTAAAATAAAAAACTTAATTTTTTAAAAAAACTCTTTCAAAATACAATATTGAATATTTCCTAATAACTTTAAAACTACTCAACGGGAGGAAACTTTGAGAAATGTGATCTCTCCAATTCTCTTTCAAAATGTGGTAAAAGTAACAGCACTAATAATTCTAAAAACTTTGAGGGGTTATTTTTAAAATAATTTTTTATGTTAAAATATATATTAATATTTTTTATTTTTAAAAATTATTTTTAATATCAGCACATTAAAATAATTTAAAAATACTAAAAACATGTTAATTAAAGTTAATAAAAAAATTAAAAAAATTAATTTTTTTCAAAAGCTTTGAAATGCAGTAAAATTGACAAGAAAATTGCTCCCTCCCCGTGGCTCCACATTCCATTCACCTGCCTGACCGCCTTCTATGCTAGACAGATGAATATCAAGGGATGCATTGGCACCAGCAGACATCGCATAAACCTTCCACTATCCAGTAGAGAAACCAGCAAAATGATCATTGCTACAGCATCCAAGAAGTCATCGCTTCAAAACATAATCATTGAGATCGTCAAGCCAAGCTTTCACATCAGCATCAGTAATCTGCTTCTCTTCTACATCAATGAGCACTTTGTTAGTACTCAGAATTTGTTCTCTAAACCATTCTACTAGCTGCATTGACACTTGACAGAGACAAAATCAGCAGCAAGATGTTAGAAAGTTACCCTGGTAGACTGAATCTTCCCATGAATCCCAAGAAATTCTAAAATTCCCTTTGAAAAATATCTGAATTTTATCACTGAAAAGCAACCAACTAACAATCTACACAATATCTTCAAACCATTCATGAAAAGAAAAGAAAAATACAGTGTTTATAACACTTGCACTTCTAGAGGCTTGGAAGCAATAATATTAGTTAGATGTCTGATAAAGTTACTTGCCTTCGTATACAGATTGTCAAGCTTCTTTATATCTTCTTGCGTGTTTGTTTTGGAGGGGGAGGAGAAGCTTCAGTAGAGAGAGAGGGCAAAGGTTTCTTCATATCTTCTTGCATGTTTCTTCCTTTCTGGACTGAATTCTACGCTAGTAGAACTCTTTCCTGAAGTTCAAAACTTAGTGTAGCCCAAGTTTTTGTCTTCAAGGGGATTGGAGTTTGTTGGGCTTGTTGATTATCTTTTATATATATATTCGTTTGTTATGGGACATAGGCTTTTTTCAAGCTTGGTTTTATTTTAAATCTTAATTGTCAATTAGTGTACAATACATGGAGGTTAATTTAGTGAAAGGAGCACATAGCAATGGATATTCTTAATTTTGATAGTTAGTTGTCAAATGATTTTTCTAAATACATCAGCCAACATGGTTTTTTTTTAGCATGACTAAAAATCCTTAAAATTATTTGAATATTTATATAAAAAAATAAAATAATTTGGCATATTTAAAAAAAAAATATTGCATGAATTTTACATTAAATGTGTAAAATTTTAAAGCATTTTGATCTATATTTCAAAATATTAAAAATTTATTTTTGACAATAAAATTTTATTCACATTTAATATAAGGATAAAAAAAGATTAATATCTAAAATATTATTAGCAATAATAAATTATTACTACTCATTTTAATATAAGGATATAATATATATACGAGGTTAATATCTAAAATATTATTGAGAATAATACAACTTATTTATTCATAATATATATAAAAAAATCTAAATTTTTTTTATTTAAAATATTATTTAAAATGACACGATAATAAAAATTTAGAAGTTCACCCCAAAAAACTTTAATAATAACTGAAGATATTTTACCGGGTCAAATCCTCAACCTGAATGCAAACCTACCATAATAGAGATAAAAACATTATTAAATTATAATAAATAAATAATTTATCTCATGTAAGATATATTATAAATGCTAATATTTCCTGTTTATATAACTAATTAATCTCTCATCTAAGATCTTTAAAAAATCAATTATAATTTTTAATAATTATAATTCTAAATAACAACTTTTTTATTTAATAAAAAAAAACTAATCCAGAGCATCACCCAGGAAATATTTTTGCAACGACACGCCACCGCTAGGAGGGCACGACAAGTTGCACCAAATTATTGAATGTGACAAATCAAATAATTTGTTCTTGATAACCACTTTCCGTTTCTTCGGTAATAATCAATAGAATACCGCTAAGAAGCCGATTTGACATCATCGAAAACTCGACAAGACAACATGTTTAAGGCCATGCTTGTCCCAAACATATTCTGTGGTGACTCGTGGCTAAAGATATATAGATAATAATAGTTAATGATGCCCAATTTCTTAATTATGAAGATACGATCAACTCAAGAACAAAAAAAAAAATGATTTGATCATTGTTTCCTTTTTCTCTAAAAGGCAGATAAATCTCTACTATTAAGTTCTCGTAAATAAAAAAACACAATTTAGTTAATTTTTCTTTCATTTCTAAAATTGATAACTTCATATATAATGGTTGATCAACAAATAATACTATGCATTAATTTGATTTTAAAATAATTTTTTTAATAATATTAAACACACATGTAGATAACTATATATTTTATAAAAAAATATTATGTTTTTCACATCTATGTATATTTCAAGAAACATGTACCATGTTTATTTTTTTAATTAAAATTATAATAAAAAATGTTTTATTATATTTTCTTTTTCTCTCAACACGTAACATTAACATCATAAAAGTTTTTTAAAAAATAAATTTAATATTTTTATATAAAAAATAATTTAGAAAATACTTTTTAAAAAATACATTAAACACCCTTTATAAACTTAAAAATACATTAAGATCAATTTATTCAAAAATTCATTTATAGACTGATGAAGGTATCGCTAAAAAATAATGCAAAATTTAAAAGTTAGCATCGTATGATAACTAATTAACATAGAATTTGTGGCTAAAAATAAAATACTTTCCCTTTTTTTTCTCTGTATTATATGTTTTTTTAAAAAATAAAAATAATATTAATATTAAAAAAGAAAGAGTAGAGAAAGCAAGTTTCCATTCAAGTGCAGGAAGGGGCAGGGAACCCATGCACTCTCATGTTGATGTCACCAGTGACATGGCACTCACATTCTCCATGCCTTGCCCCCACTCGGATCATGACTAGTCATCCAACCCAATTGGATCCAGCTATTCTCACCTGTAGATAACTCGTTTGTTTCATCAAAAATAATTTTTAAATTTAATATTTGTGTAAAATTTAAAAGCTTTGAAAATGGTTGAATTGTTTTGTCCAAGAGTATGGTTTTATTGTAATAAATGATTTATCTAGTTGAAAAATTAAAAAAATAATTAAAATCATCTTGTTATCTATAATATTTAATCTTTATTTTTTTTATTTTTTTATCTTAAATAGTTAATCTTTATTTTTTTTATTTTTTTATCTGAAATAGTTTATGAAATTATTATTTTTAATTTTATTATTCTTTAAATTTTTTATTTGTTATATTTGATCCCTATAATTTTAATAAATTAAAAAAAATAATAATAATAAGTTATTTTTCATATTATTTTCTATAATATAATTAAATATTAAGAACTGTTTTTTAATTTATTTTTAATGATATTATCAAGTGTAAAAAAGTATTTTATTTTTTATGAATATCATTTTCTGACAAAAAACAGACAGTGACTGACCTTGACGGAAAATATATTTGTTAAGTGAGAGCCATGCACCATTCTCCAAGTGGCTCTCCGATGGAAGGCGACTATGGCATGGCAAGGAAACTTCGATGTGGAACTTGTCTTGGTTACTTGGTCAATAACGGGTCCCTATTGAGCAGTTAATTAGGGTCAGGACCTCAAGCAGGAGTGGAGAAAAAGGAGCAGAAACATTTATAAAGGACTTTCCCTTCTCCCATGGAAAATGTCGTGGGGCAGAACTCAAAAGAACGACGAGGTCCAGATTAGGAAAGCACACACTGCGTTCTGTAGCATTGGCCCAAACAAGGACAAAACAGGGGGGGTCGTGAAGCTTTTTTCGATTCCACGGAGCAGTAATTTAGAAAATGAAGCTCCACAAATTCTTCAATCAATGGCGTCAACAAAAGGAAAGTAGCCCCCACCTGCTACCCAACGTAAATGGAAAGGGGCAGTTGTTGAAAGCCACCATTGCTATCTCTCCTTGCTTCAAGACAGAAACGTGTAAAGTGCAAATCTTTTTTAGCTAAAACAAAAGATAAGGTCAGTGTGTAAAGAGCAGCAACACCACAGCTATTTCTTTCTTTGAGCCCATCATTTTTCCTTAATTTGGTTAAGTTCCAAAAACTAGAACCACACGTTACAACATCCATGCTAGTTTTCTGTTACTTTGAGACTTACTGAGGGGGTTCTTGGTTGATTTTTATAGTATTTTTTATTTAAAAATATATTAAAATAATATATTTTTTATTTATTTTTAACATTTAGCATATTAAAACGATAAAAAAAAACCTAAAAAATATTAATTTATAACTAAAAAAATACGGTCCAGCCGCATAAAGAAACATGCCTTTGATCAATAAGCAACATAGGGTGGGGGTTGGCTGAATCTTAAAGTTAGCTTCTGGGGCATTCGATCTTCACTCCCATCCCCACATAATAAATATAGCCCTCCCTGGCTGTAAGCAGCACCTTCATATTTTTCAGTGCAAGAGAGAACCCAGCTTTGCCTTCATCTCTAGTCTTGCAAATTCTTATTGGTTCTATACACAAACTAATTCATACTTCGACATTTTCGACTAGGGCTGCTGCTTGTTTATGCATGCACACCTTGCACGAATCTCTGAAAGTGTCTGCAAAAAAATACATGAAACATGAATGCAAAGGAAGGTTTTGTACATAGGAAGGAACTTCTTTGTAGCCTGTAGGGTTTTTTCTAGTGGGTTTTGGTTCAAATTCGTTAGTGTAACATACCTGGACTTGCCTTTGAAGGTCCTTGATGTAGTCAGCAGCCAAATCCAGCATGTCTGATGTGTTTGTTTGCTGCAAATGGGGGAAACAAAGCATTGTCTAAGGCTTAAACAAAACTAGCAGATATAGAAAAGGGGAAAGATTCTACCTTATCCATGTTAGGTACAAGATCCTGGAGTTTCCTCATTCGTTCACTGATTCTAGTTCTTCTCACCTGCACACAATTCAAATCCATATGGGATCTAGAATTAATCTCAAACCCATGCTTAGCTCAAGGAACAAATAATAACCAAAGAGACTTTACCCTCTCAGCAATGCTTCTTGGATGAGTAGCACAACCACGCTTAGCTCTAGTCCTGCAAGGCACGGAATCTTGAAATTGCAAGAACTTCTCGATGGCTGAAATTTCTGCAGCAGTTTTTGGCAAACTCATGTGATGAACCAACACCGGAGGGCGATTTCCTCCCTCTTCATTCTGCTAAACAACCAAACTCATAGGAAATCAAAATCTCCAAGAAAAAAAGTTATCTTATCAACTTGAGATAGATTAAGAATTAACAAATTCCGGTACGGAAAAATGCTCTACCTGAGTTTCAGATGCATTTAGACCAGAAAGTACTGTCGTATCATCATCTGTAAGGTGTCTTTTTGAACCAGCAGATAGCATAGCAGAATCATCCCAAGATCCAATAGGGTAACCTGAGACATAATTACTGCTGCGAGTTTCAGAATAACCACCACTCTCTGGGCTATTTTCTCCCATGTTTTTGTTTCCCATTTCAGCAACTGGACCCATTCTCCCTGAAGAAGGAGTTGGCCTGCTGGCTGCAGAATAGTTTATGTCTCTATTACCTGCTCCAAGATCTCTCATACCTCTCAAGACAGCATAGCCTGCCATATGGTAACATTAATTTTGTCCCTTTTCATAACTCTAGTCAATCAGGATTCAAAACAAGAATCTGTGTGACATCAAAGAAAGAACCAGAAAACTCAATCTCCTATTGGTATATAAGACCATAAATCAAACATTTTAGTGTATTTAAAATAATAAATCCTGTTGGTTTTGCTTTCAAAACTTTTATTTCTTCTTTTCAAAATTTTTTAACCCCCACTTGCTAGTTCAAATGATTGGTTATCAGCAAATACTCAAAGAATTTAATCAAAATTAATAGTACTTTCCTTAACTGAAACTGTCAATTCACAACACAGAAAATCTGCAGTTTCTATTATTTTTTTCTGCTTTCCTTTCATTCTATTCATTGGCTATTTAAATAAAAGCCTTAAAATAATTCATCAAATCAAGCACCAGCTTCTCATTTTTCTCATTCTTTCCAAGAAATCAAACAAAAGGGTAAAAAAAACAACATACCATTTTCAAATTCAAATTCACTATTTATGTTGGAGAAAAGCCCTGCAGGTGAGCTACTATGTCGAACTAGATTCGAGTTATTGCTACTACTGGGCTTCATGGAAGGCAACCTCTCCGTTCCCACTGAATTCATTGATCTATAATTCATTCCAGAACCTGACTTCTGATCTGGTAATGGAGGTTTTGCTTGATTTTGATAAAAACCCTGTGAGGCAGAGTAATTGCTCTGCTGCTGCTGCTGCTGCTTCTGCACTCTTGTGTCACTGCCAAGATTATTCATTGCAGCCACCATCTGGGGTTGCTGATTAGTTTGTGGAACTGCTTCTGGAGAATCTTGTTTAATCTCACAAAGATTTTGACTTGATATATTCTCTGTATTACCACTAGAACTGGCTAAAAATCTCGCGAGAATTCGTTCTGTTTCCGGACTTGCCGGCCTATTGAGAAACTCTTCACAGAAGTCTCTGTCCAAAATATTTGATAAATATGAACTCGGTGCGGATTGATACCTTGTTAACCCAGGATTCGTTTGTTTCTGATGAATTTGTTGGTGTTCATTATGACCATGAAGAAAATGATGATGGTGCTCCATTTAGTCCCCTGTTTCTTGACTAAGATCTCCAAGAAGAAAGGCAGCCCACTTGCTTGTTAAAAGTCCTTTTCTTTCCTTACAAATCAGATCAAAGACAGGTTAAGAAATCAAGAAGGTGAACAAAGGTAACAAGAGACAGAACAAGGCAAACCCATTTGATTTTTCTTGAAACAGGGGGGAACAGAGCAAGAACAGAGACCTTGATAAGATAGATAAATCCTGCTTGAATTTTATCATAGGAAGCAACGGTAACCATCAAATCTGAAAACAACCCATTTTTCTAAGTGTGAAACTAAGCAAACTTCACTCAAGAAGATAGCATTAACACCAAAACGAAGCCACTAAAAAACCCTCACTCTCTCTGAGATGCTTCAAAAGGATGGAGGTGGTGGTGTTGATGCAGTGAGTAAAGAGAGAGAGACTGGATTTTCCTTTTTTCTCTTTTTCCATGGTAAGGGAAAAAAAAAAAAAATAGAAAAGCGGTTTCTTTCCTCTTCTGTGGGTATAGCCAATGGGAGTCAGCAACGGAGGAGATTAGACTATCAAATGTGCAATATCTAATAAAATTTCACGGACCTTAATGCCCTTCATGCTTGTTTGTTTATTACAAATAAAAAACCATGAATTTTTAGATAAAAGTAATGGCTGCATCGTATCAACGTCATGTAAATATTTGTATGGTTGGGGACAATGGTTTTAAACTTGATTAATTGGTAGATCAGCTGGATAATCCAAGCTTAGGATGTGTTTTAAATTAAAGTAGTTAAGAGTTGATGAGTGACTTAATCGATCTTCATTTTACTTTAAATTTTTTTAAAAATATATCATTTTAATATTTATTTAAAAAAATCACGATTCAAGTGCTATAAATTAGATAGAATTCAATAGCTTCATGGTATTTAATAGTTCTTGAGATTTAAAAAAAAAATATTTTTCCTTTATGGATTTGAGTTCAATTTCATATGTTGATGAAAACAACAAGAAAAAGATAGTTTTGTCAACGTTGATTTATTTTGCTAATAAAAAAAATAAAAAATGTTAGTTTTATTATATTAGATAATTATGAATGTTTATGATTATAATAAAAACCATAAAAACTAAGGAATAATTTTTGTAGGCATAATCTAGTTGTTAAATGATTTTATTCTATAATTCAATCCTTAAGGAATGTTAAAATAAAATATTTTTTTTATGAATATAATAATTTGATCCAACATGCTTAAAACTCATAGTGAAAAAAATCCAATAGATAGAAAAAAAAACAGAAAAATTACTAAAATCTAAGATAATTTAATAAAAAAAACTTATTGTTTTTTTATTTGTTAATCAAAAAAATATTATTTTATTTCTGTTGTAAGAGAATCAAGATCTACTATCATGTGCAGTTGATTATTTTTGTTGCGAGATGAGAGAACTATTAGACTAACAATGTGTTTGTTTTGTAATTTCAATTCGTATTTTAAAAATGTTTTTCAATTGAAACAAAATACTAAATTCATGGTTTTTATATTCTAAAGTAAAAAAAAATTAAAAAAATACATTATTAATTGAAAAATATCATAAAGAAACAGTACTATGCCTATTGGATCCCTGACATAATATTAAAAGAATAGGTCTAGGGACATTTAACCTTTTGTGTCCTGAAGATGCTTTCCTTTCTTCAGCAGGAACACACCATAATTGTCTCTTTATGCACTTTGGTGAGTAATAAAAAAGAGAAGGACATCTCTTAGAGAGAATCCAAGTTAGATTTCCTTTATGAAAATTGAATAATGTTGATTTTAGTGAAACATCCCTTTTTAAATCCTTTTTCAAAAATAATAATTTTAGTCCATGAGTTTTTTATGTTCTGGAAAATGACAACTTAAATAATAATTTTAGTCCATGAGTTTTTTACTTCAGTGATTCATAGCCATCATGTTCTGGAAAATGACCACTAGAAAGCAATTTCAAATAAAGATTTTCAATTAACTAGCTGATCCTATTGAAATATTTTACTATAATTGTTTTTTTTAAACTCATTGTTCATATGAGTGCTTGACATTTATTAATTTTCTAAATTTTATAATACATCTTTTAATTAATGTTTTGGAATAGAGATAATATATATAAAAATGATGTGTTTACCTGTACTCCCTGATTTAAAAGTATATAAATTTATTTTAGAAATAGATTTATTTTATATCTTTATTTTTATCTTTTAAATTAAACAGGTTTTTATTTTTTTATATAATTATCATTTCTATCTTGTAACATTTTCCAAACACAATTAATAGTTAAGTGATTCAAAGAATATATTTTTGGGTAAATTTATTTTTAAAAAAAAAATTGAGACAGATTTAAGGAAGTATTTCTGTAAAGAAATTGTTTATAAATATTTTTTTCTCGCAATAATTAAAATTTTGTCAGTCTAGAAGTTAATAATCAAAATTCAAGCACCCTTTTCTTTCCCACCTAGAGATTTGTCATGGAATTCTTGGAGCAATAAAGTACTTCATTAATGATGAGAAATTAGTACATGCGTGACTTATGAAGCCATGATTTAATTGAAAAAAAAAAAAAGACACGATGGGCATTTGAAATCAAGTGCCAAATTATTGTACATGTCCCCACTTCTTACTTCTCAACGCTTCCTCCTCCTCCTCCTCTTCACTTCCACTCTTTCATTTCATTTCTTTTTTCTTGTTTTTATCATAATTATTAAACCTAATTCGGCTTAATGGATTGACTTGAACCCTGACAGGGTTTGAATAAGATAAGACTTGGACCTCTAATTGCCCTTGTAAAAACTGTTAGATAGGATGGGTCAATTTAAAATCTAGATAATCTGATAAAACCTAATAATAATTTTTTATATATATATTTATAAAACTTTTTAGGAGGCAACAACACTCTTTTTTCCTTTTTTTTTTACATGTATAGGCTTTTTTAACAAACTAAAAAATTAAATCTACACGTGTTGATATTTTTTTATATCTATAGAACATTACTAGAAAAATAAACCATTTAGTTTAAGAAGGATAACAATAAAAAATAATAATTTTATTTAATGAAGGGACATAAACAAATTATTAATAAATACAAAAAAGTTCTGGAAACATGAGAGGGATAATAAGAGGTTTTCTTCTTGCTTGGCCCAAACTTATGCGTTAAAGCTTATCATATTTTTCTTGTTAGTTATCGATCCATGTCAAAATTTACAATATAAATACTAGAAGAAGGCTTTATTTTTTCAATGTAGAATTAGAAGTCTCTTAATATATATACTTTATATTCATTAAAAGAAATTTGTGTTTTTTCAATGTAAAAAAATATTTTTTTAATTAAATACTTCAATTTAAAAAAATAAGATAATATCTTTTCAATATAAAATAAAAAAAATTAAAATAATTTTTTAAACATCATTATTTATAAAATATATAGCATTCTTCTGCATACATCATTCTTAAATTTTTTTATATAAATTATTAAAATATAAATATATATTTTTTAAAATTTTCTCAGGTTAATTTGAATTTACCTATTTAACCTACCCGACCCTTTAAGTTAAACTCCAAGCCCTAAGTTTAATAATTACGCTTTCGAGTAAATGAAATTATTGATGCAAAGAATTTTGATCCATCACTTTCTAGGGTTCTTCTTGTTTTTAATAATAGAAATTAAATCCAGCTAAAATCTCTAAGAGGATACGACTTTAGAGTATGAGATTGCGTGTCATAGCAACTGCGGGTTTGATAATTTCAACACTCGTGAAGGCGTTGGTCGTTTGTTGAGTTTTGAACATTTCCAAATGAATAAATCATCGCTCAACTAAATTAATAACTAACACAATTTTTAAGGTGATTTAATTAGGATATCTGCTTATTTTAGAAGATCCAGATAATAATTAGAGAAATATTTTCTCTTTTTAATAATTATTATTTAAATTTTAAGATAAATGTATTGAATTGTAACTTTAAATTTGGTAAGTATCTGAGGATTAAAAAAATAAAAATATATTTGATTTAAGAAACATATACAAAAATTATTTTAAAGACAGCTTATATATTTTTAAAATAAAAGGTAAATGGAGACATATATCTTTTATGTTCCAGTATTTTTGTTTTTCCTAGTAATTAATTGCTAAAAATGAACAATATAAGAGGCAGCTCTTTTTTTATTTAAAAATATATATTTGAAAAAAATAATTTTTTTTTGTTTTAAAATAATTTTTTTTATTTTGATATGGTAATATCAAAAAATAAATTTTTATAAAATAAAATAATATTATTGTAATATATTTTCCAAATAAAAAATACCTGAAAAAAACTATTTTCGTTATCATAATAAATGATAAAAGATAGGATTTTAATCAAGAAATTCTAGTCCCCTCCTGACCCAAGCAATCTAGTAAAACAAGTGATAATTAAGTATTAGCAAATCATTTTTCAACCTCAAGAAAAATAGAAAAGTCCCTCCAACTCCATGGGAGATCTGGAAAAACGATGTCACCATGCCTTATATATATATATATATATATATATATATATATATATATATATATATAAATTAGATAGGAGAGTGACATGTTCTGACTTTTGTTTTTTGGGGAGAATAAAGTATGCGTTAAAAGGTTCAATAGCTTCTTTTATATAAAATGAAAGTTGGGACCATACTCTCCATTTTTTTTAGTCGCTATATGGATTATGCTATTGATGCACGCTTAGATGTGGCATATTAAGTTGGATTTTTCTTATTAATTTATGGGTTTCGTTCTTTTACGAGTGAGTCATTAATTAGTTGTTATTCAAAGACAAAAGCATATTCGGATCACAAGTAAAGTAAATTAACTTGAGTTAATTTATTTTTAAAAAACAATTAATAAAAATAACATTATTTTTTATTTTTAATAAATAGATTTTTGACTTTATCAAACTTAGGTCAACTAGATTACAAGTCAATGTAGATTTTTAATTAAATTACATCAAATCATATTTTTTTATTTTTATAAAATTCAGATCAATTCCAAATCAAGCTGATTCAAATTTAATAAGGAAGTCTTTTACGTGTAATGTTAAGTATATCGTTGCCTTTACCAACCTTGGCTTGATTGCCGTTAATGTTTCATTAATCAAGTAAAGGGTAGCCTTTCATTTTTTGAGGGGGGAGAATGGCCTCCAAAAATATTGCACCTTGATTTTGGGTCCGGTTCCTCGTAAACATAAATAAGAATACCATTGAGGAAATCAACTCCAAATCTAAACTACAATACATTAATTCTCCCAAAAAATTTCAAAATAAACTAGTTTATTCTATGCAGTTCTTGACCAGGTAGGATCTCAAAGTCATTGCATCTTCTTCTAGGCCTTGCCTTTTTTAATTCAATCATCACCGATGGTTTTCTCTTATAATAAAAAATTTCATTTCATATATGAATATTTCCAATTCAAATATAAAACATTTTCTTTCATACTAATATAAGGCTCTACAAGCAAGAAAAGCTGTAATAATGCATAGAAAAAAAATCACTAAAAAACA